TTCAAATTCCAGTTTCCATTCTCAATCATACAATGCATCTTATCTTAATGTGTATTTTGGTTGCAGTAATTAGTCGTTTAAAAGCTGCAGAGTATTTACTCTATAGCATTCTCTCAGTTAGTGGCTATAATTTAAGGATTTATAAACCTGCACCTGTGGTCTGTATCTTGAAGGAAAACAGTTGTGTTGATATTTCACTGAACACACGATAACAGATTTATTTGTAATAGCATAGTAACCGTGTTTGTGTTTGCTGTCAAAGATGATGACTCCCAGATGGGTTTAGGTGCATTGTTCCAATACCCAATGTCGGCTGGGATTGGTTCCAGCTCCCCCTGTGACCCTCAAGAGATAAGTGGTGTAGATAATAGATGGCAATTAAGTGCAATACATAAGTTAATTCTCTTAGTTACTTTACACCACTCCTTGGTGGCATGGTGGGAAAAAAACTATTCTCCTCTCTCTTCAGTCAGTATCTGATATTACTAGGATTTTTAAATCTTAATCAAACTGCCCCCACTCGGGATCAGAAATATTTGAAGTCACATATATATCTAGTCTTTTTTCCCCAATACGTATACTGCAGCTCCGCCACTGGGGGGCAGCAGCCCACAGTGACCACACATGGCTCATCTCATAATGGCTGGATCTCAGGGTTGCCAAGGAAACGGGCCTCCATGGAGCAGACTTATTGGTGGTGAGGTGCGGAGATACAGAGGGCAGTGTTGAGCCAGAGGGCGGGAGCGGAATCCCAATCAGCAGCTGAACACACACACACACACACACACACACACACACACACAGACGCTGACATTTTTCTTGACTTAATGTTCATTCTGTTCAAGCTGTTGATTTTATTTGTCGGCTTGCACATACAAATAATAATAATAATAATAATTTAAAAAGACCACAACTGCTGTTTGCATGTGTAGCGCTGCTGTTTTGCAATGATAACCACCTGCATGTGTATTTTCACAGGCATGATTGACTTGGCTATGTGGCACTATAGGCTGCAGCTGCTTGGCACAGTGCCGTGCTGATGTTTCAGTCAGTCAAAGCCATGTTTGTGCTCTCTTGTGATCAGGCCATCATATTTTAATGTACAGTTTTTGTTGATCCCACATACTTACCACGCAGCATGAAATAAAACCATCCAAAACTGTTTTAAAAATGGCTAAAGAAAGGAAGATGTCATGCTCACAGTAAAAAAAAAAAAAAATATATATATATACACACATGAGAATGTGTGAATCAGTACACCCCCACCCTCGCCCCAGTCCCAAAATGAGACAGGGATGCATAACTAGATTTAAGGTTATGTAATGGTGACTGGAGGCATGGAGGATGTGTATAATCCACTCTTATTTGGGTTAAACCCATCTCTTTCACTCACTCTCTATCTGTAAGAGGACAGGGGCCTTTCCCCTCTGCCTCATCCAAGGCTGAAAATCACAGATCTCATGTCACTCAGTCTTTTACCAGTCGGCTCCACAAACATCTCAGCTCCCAGGAAACGTCTCTCAGTGCAGTCATGTCTCTGGTGTCTCAGGATTTCCCTGATGGAGTGATTGCATTGTTTTGAGACTCAAGAATCTCCTTTTCCGATCTCTCAAATGATCCATCTTCTCACCCTTTAAGATTACTTTTTAGCTCCATGTCTTCACATGTAGTCTATTTATTCAAATCCCATTTATGGTTGTGAAAATAATCCATTAATATATGCAAGAAATATCAACCCATTCCAGATTATATTTAGAAGAGACAGCTGTGGATTAGCAGACACTGTGTGTGTATTGTAATATCCAGCTCATTACCAGGGAGAATCTGATCGTATACAATAAGATTGTGACTGGAATCTTATTGTATGCAATACAAGGATCTCCATTTAGCACACATGTTGAACTGAACAATTCAGCTTGTCATGGAACAATTCAACACTGCAGAGCTGTGGTTGCACAGCCCAGATAATATTGCCTGTTTTCTCACCACATCTGGTTGTTTTTGTTAGATTTTAAAACGTTGTGTTTTAGTTCACATGCTCCTAAGAAACCACTCTAATGGACCATGGAAAGAAAACCACCATTGTTTTACTGCAAAGTCTCAAATTCCATAGGGAATATGTTTTAAGGTTTATATACATTTAAAATGAACAGGGACATTTTCTGTGGCTCTCTTCGAAAGCTATCACGTCTAACTGTGAATGTATTGTCTGCATGTGAGGAATAGAATAAATAGATGTGAGTATTTTTTTCTATTTGACATGCAGAAAACTACATACAGCACCATAAAATCTTCTTATTTGTTTAGTGAAACAGCATCCGTGATTAAAGATCCAGTGCAATCTAAGTGAACGTCGTATGAAGCCTACAGACACACATGCCACAGTGGTGTGATTGTAATCTCTGATCCATGCAGCTTAAATCCTCATAAATATTGAATATTTGATGACTTTCCCACTGATGGAGCAGGAAGCCTCCCTCCGCTCGCTGTATATACCCACAGGAGGGTGTTGTTCCTGGCAGTGCTCTTTATCTCAGGGAAGCATCTGAGCCAGCAAAACTGACATGACAGTGAACACCAACGCTGATGTATGATCGCATGATGCAATCATCATTTATTTCTGATGAGGCATTTAGAATGAGCTATTTATATAAATCAAAATGCTTGTATATAACATTGTGTGTGTGTGTATGTGTATGTGTGTGTGTGTGTGTGTGTGTGTGTAGGTTCAAATATCAAGTGAAGTCAGTTTTATTTGTAAAGCACCAAAACAGACGCTATCTCAGGGCACATTACATGTCACACTTTAATAATTTTATTTACAGAGACACAACAATCTCCCTTGAGCATTTGGCGATGATAGTGAGGAACAACTCCCTTCTAATAGGTAGAACCCTTGAATAGAACCCGACTCATCGTGTGTGGTCGATGGTCTCGACCAGTTGTGTTGAAAGGGAAATAGAGAGAGAGAGAAAGAGAGAGAGAACGTGTGTGATGTTGTATCCGTTTTTCCTTTTACAGTCTGAATGCTGCTTGCCTAGCAGGGACCATAATGATGGTCGTCAGCACAGGCTGGTTGCTAGGTAACAATTACCTGACTGTGCTTTGCTTGCACTGAATTACACAGTGGGTCGTGTGTGTGTGTGTGTGTGTGTGTGTGTGTGTG